GTAGTGGTGTCCGAAACCATAGTGGACGTTATTGAGTGCACTTATTCAATCCCACAGTCTGCAATAACGATAACCGAAAGTCTGCAATAACCGAAGTACCCTCAACGGCTGTCTCAATTAACTCACTCGTTTTCATTTACTCCTTCAAGTGAACAGTATTAGTGGACAACGTAGGGAATAGTGAATAAGGGGTTTAGGTGCCTTGAGACGCTCTTCACTGGGCAGAGTTGTTTCTATAACGTTATATAAATGCCCTTGAACATTTCCCTTAAAGGGCCAGTACACACAAAAATAAAAATTCTGTCACCCTCGAGTACAATTGTTTCAAACCCATATGCATTTGATCACAAATGAAGATATTTTGAAGAATGTTTATAACCAAACAGTTGTGACTTGCATTGTATTTTTTTTCCCTACTATGGAAGTCAATGGTGCCCCACACAACTGTTTGTTTGTTTTGTTAATGAATTGTATTTTAGTTCGATAACATTTTTTATTTAACATTTTATGGTACTAAATTATATTTATGGAATAGTTCTGATCTATTTATTATTATCTGTTAATCACTTTTTGAGCGTAGACCTGAAAATGAAATTTCTGTCACCCACTAGTTGTTTCAAATCTGTATGAATTTCTTCACAAAGGAAGATATTTTGAAGAATGTTTATAACCAAAACAGTTGTGTTGCACCATTGACTTCTATAGTATTTTTTCCCTACTTTGGAAGTCACTGTGTATAATTATTTTGTATATATAAATACACACACATGCATGTATATATTTAAGAAAAAATCATTCGTTATTTATATATAAAATATTTATATATAATCTAAATTATGTATAAATATATATATATATATATACATGCAAATTTCTTAAATATACACATGCATGTTATACAACTGTTTGTTGTTGGGTTTTTTTTTTAAATGCATGTGCTGTATTTTAGTTCGATCATATTTTTTATTTAACATTGTCAAATCACGCTGTCAAATCAAACGCTGTCAAATCACGAGTCAAATCTGCGGTGATTTAGCGCAAATACTCGTGAGTCCTCATGATATATTAAATACAGTGTATTGCGCAGAATCTGCTCATATCTGCTCACTTGAACACACTCGTCACTACACAACAAAGAACGGCGCGCTTGTTCACTTGCATTGAAGCAACAGCGAAGATTAAAAAGCTTTTGGTGAACAGAAAACACATTATTATTTCCCAGCATCCTACATGTTTCTGATGTTCTTTGTACAGTGTTGATCTGTCCACCTAAACACATGTTTGGTGATAAGGATGAAGATGAGGAGATGCTTGATGACAGGACTTTCTTTGAATAAGAAATTAATGTATGAAATCCAAATTTTATAAACTGTTACAAACTTTATAAAAAGTTCATCTGGTTTATTTATTTTTTCTTTCTTTTTTTCCGGCTAGTAGAAGTTCTGAACGGCCCATGTAACTTAAAAAGTAGTAGCCAAATTGGCCGGATAGTGAAAAAGTTAATATCAAACCCTGCTCCCCTGGATATTAACTGATTCCTCCATGTCTCTCTCAGGCATGCCGTGTGTATTTTCTACCTGGTTCTTCGAGCCCTGGACACGGTGGAAGACGACATGACCATCCCGCTGGAGAAGAAGGTCCCGCTGCTGCACGACTTCCACTCGTTCCTCTATCAGCCCGACTGGAGCTTCAGCGAGAGCCGAGAGAAAGACCGGCAGGTCCTGGAGGATTTCCCCACGGTCAGTCTCACACAATCATCATGTGACACCACAATATCAAAATCAAAATGTAAGGAATTGTGTATTGCATGAAGAGAGTCAGGTCTGTTTTAAGACCATATATACACTCACCTAAAGGATTATTAGGAACACCTGTTAAATTTCTCATTAATGCAATTATCTAATCAACCAATCACATGGCAGTTGCTTCAATGCATTTAGGGGTGTGGTCCTGGTCAAGACAATCTCCTGAACTCCAAACTGAATGTCAGAATGGGAAAGAAAGGTGATTTAAGTAATTTTGAGCGTGGCATGGTTGTTGGTGCCAGACGGGCCGATCTGAGTATTTCACAATCTGCTCAGTTACTGGGATTTTCACGCACAACCATTTCTAGGGTTTACAAAGAATGGTGTGAAACGGGAAAAACATCCAGTATGCAGCAGTCTTGTGGGCGGAAATGCCTTGTTGATGCTAGAGGTCAGAGGAGAATGGGCCGACTGATTCAAGCTGATAGAAGAGCAACTTTGACTGAAATAACCACTCGTTACACCCGAGGTATGCAGCAAAGCATTTGTGAAGCCACAACACGCACAACCTTGAGGCGGATGGGCTACAACAGCAGAAGACCCCACCGGGTACCACTCATCTCCACTACAAATAGGAAAAAGAGGCTACAATTTGCAAGAGCTCACCAAAATTGAACAGTTGAAGACGGGAAAAATGTTGCCTGGTCTGATGAGTCTCGATTTCTGTTGAGACATTCAGATGTTAGAGTCAGAATTTGGCGTAAACAGAATGAGAACATGGATCCATCATGCCTTGTTACCACTGTGCAGGCTGGTGGTGGTGGTGTAATGGTGTGGGGGATGTTTTCTTGGCACACTTTAGGCCCCTTAGTGCCAATTGGGCATCGTTTAAATGCCACGGCCTACCTGAGCATTGTTTCTGACCATGTCCATCCCTTTATGGCCACCATGTACCCATCCTCTGATGGCTACTTCCAGCAGGATAATGCACCATGTCACAAAGCTCGAATCATTTCAAATCGGTTTCTTGAACATGACAATGAGTTCACTGTACTAAAATGGCCCCCACAGTCACCAGATCTCAACCCAATAGAGCATCTTTGGGATGTGGTGGAACGGGAGCTTCGTGCCCTGGATGTGCATCCCACAAATCTCCATCAACTGCAAGATGCTATCCTATCAATATGGGCCAACATTTCTAAAGAATGCTTTCAGCACCTTGTTGAATCAATGCCACGTAGAATTAAGGCAGTTCTGAAGGCGAAAGGGGGTCAAACACAGTATTAGTATGGTGTTCCTAATAATCCTTTAGGTGAGTGTATATATATATGTGTGTGTGTGTGTGTATAATGATATATTATTATAATATATTTTTTTAATTTTATTCTGTACAAGAATGACCATTTATGTATAAATAAGACACCAGAGCCTATAGCAAAAAACTAAATTAAATCTTAAAAAAAAATGTAAAAACACATTTTAATCATTTCATTTTCGATCAGGAACAACGCATGACTCACTTAAACCAGCAAATAAGCAGTGGAAAATGTTTTTGTTTTTTTTCTTCACATTTTTCTTTGATTATTGATGGTCCAGATGCCTTTGTAAAATGCTGCATTTTTAAGTATAAAGTAGTTTCTTTATTGTTTATGTTTGAATACACATTTATTATTATTATTATTCTCTTTAGATTTCAGTGGAGTTCAGGAATTTGGGCCAAGAGTATCGGGACGTCATTTCAGACATCTGTCACCGGATGGGTGCGGGAATGGCTGAATTCCTGGAGAAGAAAGTCGCTTCAATGAAGGAGTGGGACAAAGTAAACTTCACACCGTCTCACATGTGCATTTGACAGTCTGTTTGACGTTTATCCATATGCATGTAGATTTATACACGTATAACTCAGCTAACCAAGAAGCAGAAGTGCTTTCACTGTCATCCTAAAGCATTTCTGCATGCGATATAATGTGTAATTATACAACAACTCAAAATTTGCTTACAATTCCAAGGACCAAGTTATTGTTTTTATTGACCAAGTTTTGTCCCCCCTCCCCTCGCGTGTTGTCTCATTCAACATGGCGGCGCCCACAACTAGCCCGGAGGCTACAGAACTCGTCTAAAAAAATCGTCTTAAATGCTGTCTTACATGCACTTCTTGAGGCACACTAGCAAACACACGCAAGGTCTCTCGCTCTCTGTCCCTCTCTGGCGTGTGCGCGCTACACGGTGCTCTCTGCTGTGCGCACGCTAACGTTACACGGTTTGAACATACATATTCACGCAGCCTTTCGAAAACCGGGATATTCTGTGTCCCGGGAGAGTGGATAAATTTCCCGGGACAAGTTATTAAAAAGAATGACAATCCTGGTAAAACGGGACAGGTGGCAACCTTGCCGTCGTTGAATTATTATTTTTGTATACAGGGATTTTTTTTTTCAAATGTTGCAGAAGCACTTTGGACTACATGAACTGCCTACCTCTTTGCACTCCAATAAAAAAAGTGGTATTTGGCATATTTGTTTTTGCAGTAGTTTTTGTTGGGTTATTTTTCCTGTAAAGATATCGAGATATATATCGAGATATAGCAAAATATATCGAGATATATATTTTGCTCCATATCGCCCAGCCCTAGGGATCGTGCATTTGCGCTAGTAGCGCCAAGACTTTGAAATAGCATTACATATTTTTAAAGTACAACTTAAGACACATTTGTTTGCCATGGCCTATTCTTCTTTTTGATGATAATATTTATTATTTACTCTATTACTAGGGATGTCCCGATCAGGTTTTTTTGCCCTCGAGTCCGAGTCATTTGATTTTGAGTATCTACCGATACCGAGTCCCGATCCGATACTTATATAATACATCAAAAAAGAATAAAGAAGAGCGAAAAAAACAGATCCAGGATGTTCCTTATTTATTTAATTCACCTTATTTTAACATTCAACAACTCTGTTAACAAACAGAGCACTTCTGTGAGGCAGCTTGAACAATCAAGTAATAAATAACATAAAATCTTCACTTTTGGACTTTAGTGCAACAGTAAATATAGAAAAAGTCTAATATAAAAACAAATAGCACCTCAACTTAAAATACCCGGCAGGCATGTAAACAAAAAATAAAAATGTTTTAAAAAAAATAATGAGAATATATATATACATTAGGGGTGTAACAGTTCACAAAATTCGCGATTCGATAAGATACAGCAAAAAGAAAGAAATGCCAGAGAAATTTCCTATTTATTAAAAGAAAAACTATTTTTAAATAAGTTTGAGTTTTCCTACATCTTGAAACTTTCAGGTTTATAAATGGGGGTCATCTTTGAAGGATGAACAAATAATGTTTTGGTAATCACATTAAGAATAACATTTAAATATATATTTATATAATATTTGAGTTTTGAAGTGCAACATTAAATCCATGTTCATTCACGGCACAATGTTTCTCCTGGTGTCCACGTCAGCGCTGTTTGATCTAATAGAGATCTACGGTTAATAATGGAGAAATGTGAACGCTTCTCACTAGATCTCGCAGCGATGTTATTACTTCAGTGGCGAACTCAAATGTGTTCTTCACTGGATCTCTCAGCACAGTGTCGCTTGATCTCGCGCTGCACAGATGTTGCTGGTCCGAACTGATAAACGGTCCGTTAAGCACAATATAATGAGTAGCGCAGTTTCGTTCCGCTTTCATTACGTTTGCCATTTGATGTTGCGCAAAGTTGCGGTGATCGCGCCAGCGCGGATTTTGTCTGCAGGAAAAATAGTCCTAGGAATCGTTCGGTTTGCATGCGTACCGAACCGGAAGCCTCGTACCGAAACGGTTCAATAATTACGAATACATGTACAGTTACACCCCTAATTTACATATATCCGAGTCCTGATCGGGAGGAAACGTCCGATTCCGATCGAGTCTGAAACCACGTGATCGGGCCCGATTTCTGATCGCGTGATCGGATCGGGACATCCCTATCTATTACTATTGTACTATTAATTTAGTCTATTATACTGAGATGATGTAAAGCACATTGGTCAACATGTGTTGTTTTAATAGTGCTATACAAATAAAATTGACATAATGTTGTAAACATCTGTCCAGCTGTGTATAAACGCTTTTAGCATAAATCCGCACTTTAATGTCCCCGTTTTCCCTTCAGTACTGTCATTATGTGGCGGGTCTGGTGGGGATCGGACTGTCCCGACTGTTTTCGGCGTCCCAGCTTGAGGACGCTGAGGTGGGCCGGGACACAGAGCTGGCCAACTCCATGGGTCTGTTCCTCCAGAAGACCAACATCATCAGGGACTATCTGGAGGACCAGCAGCAGGGACGGGCCTTCTGGCCACAGGAGGTACATGCAGCTCTAACAGACAAACGTTTATTTCAAAAAGACATGAAATTACCACTATAATGCTGCGTTCACACCAAACGCGAATAGAGGTCAAATTCGTGTCTACCGCATCTAGTTCAGAGCATGTGAGCGGAGTGGAGCGGGAGCGAGCGGGCGGATCTTGGACAGAGCGCAGAGCGGCATTTTTAAAAGGACGGAGCGTCGCCCTATTTCCCGCTCCAATTTCGCTCCGCTCACACCACGAGTCGGACTCCACGTCTTTTCCCCGCCTGGCTAAAGAAGCTCGCGTTGTGTTCAGCATCCCAAGCGGGTCTGCGAGCGCAGAGAGGGTTTTCTCCGCAACCACCGCATGAGTCTGAAGCCTCAGACATTGTCCAAACTTGTGTTCTTGAAGGTGAACTCAAAAGAACTGTAGATAAGGAAAGCAATTAATTTTCTTTCTTTTTTTTTAAGATTGCCGACATAAACCAATTAAAATTGTAATCCACGTGCACTCTGCGCAAAAGTTCAGTTATGCGAATTTTGGCCTAATAGTTCATTTCGCCTACTTTTAAAACTTTGATGTAGCCTATACAGCCTATAGCCTGTATTTTTTTTTTTAATATAATTAGGCCCATTCGTTCGTTTAATTTTACAGCAATTTTTTTGTACAATTGATATAAGCCAATTTTAATTTTAATCGTGCGCGCTGTGCAAATGTTTAGTCATCAAAATGTTGGCCTAATAGTTAATTTACTTTTAAAACGTTTATGTAGGCCTATATTTTTGTTTATATAATTTTTATTTATATTATTAGGCCCATTTATTCGTTTAATTTTACAGCAGTTTGTGTGTACAATGGATAGGCTATAAGCCAATTCCAATTTTAATCGTGCGCGTTGCGCAAAAATTCAGTTATCAGAATTCTGGCCTAGTAGTTAATTTACTTTAAAAACTTTTATGTATATTTTTGTTTATATCATTTTTATTCATATTATTAGGTCAATTTATTCATTTAATTTTACAGGACTTTTTGTCTAGGCTATATTCCTTCTTACAGAGGCAAGGCCTAATTTGTAATTTGAAATCAAACATTTCTATTTGGAAAATGTTGTTGTTGCTCTTTAGTTCTTTGGGAGGTAAGCCTGTGGTCTAAGCTAAAAGTGAAGTACATGCAGATTTTTTTCTCTTTTTGGAGCGAGCGGGGGGGCGATTTGAGTGGAGCGCGATTTCACATTTTGAAATTGACGCGCATTAAAAGCAAGCGTTTGAAGTAGGGGTGTGCACGAATATTCGATCTGTAATTATTATTATTTGGAAAAAATTAAAATACTATTCGAATTTTACTACGTTGCTTTGCTGGCCGTAAATGCAGTGAATCCCTGATAAATCCCAAGCACTAGCTCGCAGTTATAATTAAATGCACTGGGTGGCGCTGTGGAGTGTGTTAACAAAAGTTTTCATAAATTTCCCCCTGGGGGATTAATAAAGTAAATCAAACAATCAAATCAAACAAACAAGTTGTGTGTATTTGGACACATAATGTTGTCGTCGCGAAGTTTGGAATTACTTGAAAATGATCTTACTAAATGGAATTACTTTTGATCAAATTAATTAAGCAATCTGAGTTATCATAATATCATCACCACAATGAGAAATCACATGAAATCCAAACAGTCGACTGAGGAAAGACAGCTGACCATCACGTGATCCGAGATGATAACTTATCTAATAGCAAAATGATTTTGAGACATATACTTGCTTTAAGTTTCTTTGAGGGAGACCGTTTTAAGAACAGAAAACGCAAAGTGCCGTTAGAAACACTGTTATCTGTGTGTCTCTGAAGCGTCTGTCAGCGAAGCGCCTTTTCTCCCTCGAGCATAAACTGCTGGCGGCGCCCTTGCATGTGGATATTATTGTTTTTCTCAACATAAACGTCAAAGAATATAAACATGATAATCATATGCTGACTCGAGTGTGTGTGTGTACGTTCTGTACGATATCTGGCGCAATCTGCTTTATTAGGCGTTGTTTCCCGTTCGCGCTGCTTGAGCATGTTTTTATGAATGCTTTTGTTTTTTATATTTTTTGTTTACACATAGGCCTGCTGTTTAATGTTTTCAACTAAAAGAAAACTTTAACATATATTGTAAGCTTGTTGTGTATATTGCCTAATTGTAAGTTAAAAAAAAAAAAAAAAAAGTTTACTTAAAAAATAACGTCTTTTTCGTTAAACGTCATTTAAATAAACGAATATTCGAATATTCGATTTTTATGAGCCCGAATATTCGAATGCAATATTTTTGAAAAATGATCACACTCGCCCTCACCCACCTAATCTGTCATTTATTTTTGTTTTGATGATAAATTGAGCCAGCCTCCAAAAGTGATTAACCTGTCCTGTGATTTTTTTTTTTCTTTTTTTTTTTGACATACGCTTTTTTTTTCTTTTTTTTTTTGACATAGTTGTAAAACATCAACAAAAAGACATTCGTAGATTTTACAAACAATCTGAGCACAGTAAATTGACGTCAAGGTAAAAAAAAAAAAAAAAAATACTACAAACAAATAAAAAAGTAGGGAAGTAGGACGTTTTTCAAATTATAAAACCAAAATCTTCCAATAAGGAGTACAAATACACCTCTTTAGGGCTTTTCATCTTTCTCACTGTCTCCAAATATACTCCAAATTCCTCCTTAAAAACCAATAACCGTGGAGGAAGTTTGAAAAATTTACATTTGTGTAAATACAATTTTAACAAAGCAACACATTATTAATTACAAAAGATACCTTTTTATCCTTAATTAATAGTCCAAACTTAACAAAATCCCACGACAGTATCAGCCTTACAGGTATTCTTTGTTGCATCCAGCTCAACGCATCATTCCAAAATTTGTTTACCAACATGCACTGAAAAAACAAATGTTCAACTCTTTCTATCTCTACTTTACATATTTGACATAAATTTGAATCCCCAACATTAAATCTTATTCTTAAAAATTCTTTTGTTGGTCTCTCACACAACACTGTCCAGACACGAACTATGTTCTTATGCACTAAACTATGTTGGTTGTCTTTACATTAGAATAATAATGTTTCATATAATCTAGATTAGATACGGAAAAAATAGCATTCAATACAAAATGAATATGTCTCATATATTGAAATCAAGTGTTTATGTGCTGTTAACCAGCTGATTTTACCGTAGCATGTTTACGGTCTTTTACCGTACTAACGTGGCTCATTATTAGGGGCTTTCGCACCGGACGAACCTTTTCATAGTTCCCAGAACTATTGGCGGAAGTTTTGTGTGCTCGCACCGCAGGAACTAGGAACGATTTTAGTTCTAGGAACTCCTTTTGGAGGAACTAATTTACTCCAGAGTCGGTCCAAACCAGCACTATAGGAACAACGAGTGACGTTAGTGTTCGCTGATTGGCCGAACGCACGCAAGCATCCGCCATTTTTAAAAAAGCTTTGTAATCACACAGAGACAAAGTCACAACAACATGTTGGTGTTAACTTGCTGTTAACCAGCTGATTTTACCGTAGCATTTTTACAGTTTTTTACCGTTTAAATGTGGCCCATTATTGATGGTTGTTTGTTTCTGTGCTGCAGGCCTGGAGTCAGTTTGCGTCCCGTCTGGAGGATTTTGCCCAGCCTCAAAACCTGAGCTCTGCCCTGTCCTGCCTCAACCTGCTGGTGACCGACGCCCTTCGCCACGTCCCTGATGTCATCGCGTACCTGTCCCGCCTCCGCAACCAGAGCGTCTTCAACTTCTGCGCCATTCCTCAGGTGAGACGCTTAATTCCTGACTCTAATCAGCCCTGTTTCTGCTGAACACTGAACCTACATCCGTTTACGTCGAGTTTAATGCCGTTTATTAACACACACAGGGATAGTGAGCACATCTTACATTACATTATCTAATGCTATAAGGGTGCGGATTTATAGAAATGAACATAGAAATTGCACACAGATGAATGTGCGGTTTTAAAAACCGAATTTGCATTGCCGTATTGCCGTTCACACAGAATGCATTTGTTTTTCTCTTGATTTTGTTATCTAAATCTAAAACTAAAAATGATAAAAACAGAAATAAAATAGAATATTAAAAAATTATTTCAATTAAATGTAAAGGCAAAATTTTACTTGAAAGCACTAAAAATATTAAAACTAAAACTGAAATAAATAATTAAAAACGAAATAGGTGTATTAAAAAAAAAAACGAAAACTAATAAAAATGACAAAAACGCAAACAAAACGATTAAAATGAACTAAAATTAAAACAAATTCTAAATAGAATGTGAAAAACGTAAACTTATTTTATTTGAGTTGCGAAGGACGTGTCTTAATATTTGTTTAGTTTAGATTGATGTGCTTAAATTACTGAAATAATAAACATGAATAAAAACAAAATAGTCATTAAATTTTTTTTATGTAATAACATTAAAGGAACATTTTAAAAATAAAAGCAAATTCAAAGTATTAATAAATACTAAGACAGTATAGTAATGAAGTTGTAGTCTAGCACTAAAATAACACAAATGTGCGTCTTTTGTGCCATGCATGTAAATAACACGATATGAGCTTTATGAATATTGTGATCGTTCAGTACAGTGGTTTTACTATATATTTGGTTCCACTTTAATTCGATAGTCCACTTTAGACAATCGACAAACTATAAGTGACTTTGGGTTAGTAGAATAAGTTGACAGCATGTGGTGTTGTTCCTCCGGCCAGGTGATGGCGATAGCGACTCTGTCTGCGTGCTACAACAATCCTCAGGTGTTCCAGGGCGTGGTGAAGATCCGGAAGGGTCAGGCGGTGACGCTCATGATGCAGGCCACAAACATGGGCGCCGTTCAGAGCATCATCGCACAGTACAGTCAGGAGGTGCGTACTTCAGTTTTCCTTCTGTGTCTATTTTATATATATATTAGTGCTGTCAAACGATTAAAATATTTAATCGTGATTAATCGCAGTAATGTCATAGTTAACTCGCGATTAATCGCACATTTTTATCTATTCTAAATGTCTCTTGATTTATTTTTGTCCCCTTATTTTTTCTCATTTTAATGCTCTTATCACCATGGAAAAGTGGATCGGCTTGCTTTGTGCAAATGTTTTTTATTGAAAACAACACTGGCATATAGTGTTCAATTTCACACTAACATTCTCACTTGGAGCAAATAATCTCTCACACAATGTAACACTGTCCATCAATAAAAGGGTGAAAGAAATACTGACGAGGTCCTGATATTGACGAGGGGGCGGAGAATTCGCATCAGCTGTGTGTGTGTGTGTGTGTGTGTGTGTGTGTGTGTGTGCTTGGCCATCATCAAGCGGTATTTCAGACTGGACGTGCTGCGATGATGATAGCTCAGTTCACAACGACAAAACACACAGATCACTTTGGTCTCGTCAATGGAACCATTCGGCAACTTTTTAAAAGTAAACTTTCTGGCAAGTCTGGCATTCAACAACTAGCCTAAGCCAGCTCACAGTCTGTGGACCAATCTGGCATTCAACAACTAGCCTAAGCTAGCTCACAGTCTGTGGACCAGTCTGACATTCAACTTCCAGCCCAAACCAGCTCACAGTCTGTGGACCAGTCGGGTATCCAACAACCAGGCTAAGCCAGCTCACAATCTGTGGATTAGTCTTGCAGCCAACAACTAGCCTAAATTAGCTCATAATCTGTGGACCAATCCGACATCCAACAACCAGCCCAAGCCGGCTTACAATCTGTGGACCAGTCTAGTATCCAACAACCAGCTCAAGTCAGCTCATAATCTGTGGTCCAGTCTGGCATCCAACAACTAGCCCAAGCCAGCTTACAAGCTGTGGACCAGTCTAGCATCCAACAACTAGCCCAAGCCAGCTTACAAGCTGTGGACCAGTCTGGCATCCAACAACTAGCCCAAGCCAGCTTACAAGCTGTGGACCAGTCTGGCATTCAACAACCAGTTTAAGCCAGCTCACAGTTTGTGGATCAGACCTCAGTGGTTTGCATTTAGTATAAGCCTGTTACTAGTCTGGGGGCCAGCCTAGTGGCCTGCAGTCAGCATAAACCAGCTCTCAGTCTGTGCCCCAGCCCAGCAGTCTGCAGTCAGCACATTCCCGTTACCAGGCTGTGGACCAGCCCAGTGGCCTGCAGTCAACACAAACTCGTTACCAGTCTGTGTCCCGGCCTATCAATCTGCAACTAACACAAGTCCGTAACCGGCATGTGGACCAGCCCAGCAGTCTGCAGTCAGCACAATCCCGTTATCAGTCTGTGGACTATCCACGTGGTCTACAGTTAGCACAAGCCTGTTAACAGTCTATGTCTAGGCAATCCCGATTCTAGGTCATTTCTAAGCCAGAGCAGTCAAGGTACAGGACTCTTTCCCGTCTTGGTTCCGAACGTTTGGTGCAACTCACTAAAATACCACTTCAAGACTCAAACTCATTCTGTTTTCAAACTCATTCAGATATTACAGTTTAATAAAATAAAATAAATAAAGTTGTCCTCCGAAGAGGGGGGGTGGAGGTGGGAGAAAAAAAGAAAAAAAAGTAAACTTTCCATTCAGAATCTTATTGGCATCCATTTCGGCGTCTCGCGCTCGTCATCCACTCAAAACGTAACGTAACCAACTATTTGGCCGGCTCGCGAGCCCAAAAGAGTGTGCGGCGTCGTGCCTGTTGTTTTGTTTCGGGTCTAGCTAGATCCGGTTGCGCTTTGGTCGACGAAGCAACAAAACGTCCTCGCGCGGCGCAAGCCATTGAAATGAATGGGTTTCATAGCGCAGCGCCGCGCATGCCGCGTCCTGTTGCAGAAGCATGAGAAAAAAACTACAAAGTTTGCTAGTCCAAAAAGATCGTTAATCGCGCGATAAAAAAATTAACGCCGTTAAAATGGGTTTGCGTTAACGCCGTTAATAACGCGTTTACCTGACAGCCCTAATATATATATATAATTTTTTTTTGTTCCATGTCAGACGGGGGGGGGGGAGGTGGTTCAAAATAATTCCTTCATCAATAATTCGTTACACAGAACTTTATTATATTAATCAAAAATGATTCACACCTTCACAAAATCCACACATTTAACACCCAATACAAAATTCACACCCCATTCAAATCAGGCTGGTCCTCATCCTCAACATGTGCCTTGGAGAGTGTGTGTGTGTGTGTGTGTGTGTGTGTGTGTGTGTGTGTGTGTGTGTGTGTGTGTGTGTGTGTGTGTGTGTGTGTGTGTGTGTGTGTGTGTGTGTGTGTGTGTGTGTGTGTGTGTGTGTGTGTGTGTGTGTGTGTGTGTGTGTGTGTGTGTGTGTGTGTGTGACAGAGAGACGGAGGGAGAGCAGGGAAAGGAAATGCAGCTGAACGAATACGCTGCGTGTTTTAAATAGCGTTAAAAATAAATAAATGAATAACGAAACGCAATATGTGGCGGCCGGTGTTGATCCTGTGGCGCACAATTAGTCTAAGTGTGGGAAACACTGTATATACATATACTGTATATATGTGCTAATATGGCAATAAACTCAAATACTGCTATTAATCCTGTAATCCCATTCTTCCCCCACAGATCCTGCAGAAAGTCTCCATCACGGATCCGTCCCGGGAACAAACGCTGTGTGTCCTGAATCTGATCCGTGAGAAGAGTGTGTCCCGAGCAGCGCTGACGCCCCGAGCGCATCACATCTCTCCGGTGTGTGTGTCGGCGGCGATGATCCTGGCGGCCCTCAGCTGGCAGTACCTGAACGCCACCGCGGGGCCAGCAGGGGGCGCCGACGTGCAGGGGCACTGACACACACACACACACACACACACACACTGCCCAAACAAGAGGACTGAAGAAAGGGCTTGAGTTCGGGAGTACAAGCTTGTTTTCTGTTTAGGTGAATCTCACAAACACTCGTCCAAGTCGTGTTTCAGCTCGTAATCAAGAGGGAAAAGCCTATTACAATGTTTGACTTGTAAAAAAAAAAATGAATGCTAAAAATGCAAAATGCTAAAAAGTTTGCAACAGGCTGCAAAAAAAAAAACTTGTTGAAAAGACAAGAAAAATATCATATATATTGTAAATTAAAATATTTATATATATATATAATGCATAAATATAAATTACATTTATAAAAACTACAGGTGAAACTCGAAAAATTAGAATATGGTGCAAAAGTTCATTTATGAACTAATATAGAGGTGGAACTAATATATTATATAGACTCATTACATGCAAAGTGAGATATTTCAAGCCTTTATTTGTTATAATTGTGATGATTATGGCTTACAGATATGAAAACCTTTTCACAATATTCTAATTTTGACTTTGGGGTTTTCATATCTGTAAGCCATAATCATCACAATTATAACAAATAAAGGCTTGAAATATCTCACTTTGCATGTAATGAGTCTATATAATATATTAGTTTCACCTTTTAAGTTGAATAACTGAAATAAATGAACTTTTGCACGATATTCTAATTTTTCGAGTTTCACCTGTATATATACACACGCATATACTTAAAATATAAATAATATATATAAATTTAAAAAAATGTATATATATGTATGCGTGTGTATATATGTAGTTTTAATGAATGTAATTTATACTTATGCTATATATATATATATAAATGGAAAAAACAGGGATTGTATATATTTAAGCTATATATGACCATGCATACAAATTATATATATATATATATATGTGTATGTACATGTATTTTATAACTTGTTTTTAAAATATAAATAATATATAGATCTATATATATATATATATATATATAAAGTTATAATATACATGTACAGTGTATAGTATAATTTATATAAATGGTCATATATAGCTAAAATATATAACGTCTGTGTTTTTCCTCTGTGTTTGTGATGAAATATGACCTGCAGATTGTTGAGGTTCCTCCGGTTGCAGTGAACGCATCTCTGGCGGACGCTATCATGCTTTTGAGACTCAGATATGGTGTTTTCTGTGACACTGAGGATTCTGGTGATTTCCTGTATTTTTTGTTTTTGCTTGTTCCATCAAACCATCCTAAACGTCAGAAGCACACGTGCAGAAAAACATTTTCATCGCGATATAAAATTCATAATCTGTCATTTAGACGGATTGGTTTTGTTTTAATTACATGCAGACTTTCGAGCGGTTGCATTCTGACGATTAGAAACCCTTCATCAAACACACACACACGCGCACACACACACATACACACACACACAGACACACACACACGCGCACACACACACACACACACATAGACACACACACACAGACACACACACAGACACACACACATACACACACAGACACACACACACACACGCGCACACACACACATACACACACAGACACACACACACGCGCACACACACACACACACACATAGACACACACACACAGACACACACACAGACACACACACATACACACACAGACACACACACACAGACACAGACGCACACATACACGCACACACACACACACACACACACACACACACACATACACACATACATACATACATACATACACAGACACACACACATACACACACAGACACACACATACAGACACAGACGCACACATACACATACACACACACGCACACACACACACACACACGAAACCCATCATATTTCACCACAAAATCAAAGAAAAAAGCCACATTATTTGGACTATTATATTTTGTAAAGTTCATTATTTTCATTGCACATTTTCTCAGTGCTGATTTTCTCAGTTGTTAGATTTGAAATAAAATAAAACAAATGAAAATAATAATAATAATGATGAATATGTCACCAAAAACACTTGTTCCCCCTCTTGATTATGGGGTGAAAGTGACCCAGACGTGGTTTTGACAGGTTTGATGTGGTTTTGAAGAGTCGCTCATCATGTGATCATGTGTTTAGGTCATGTGTGTGTGTGTTTAAATGTGGTTTTGCACATGAACTGCTCCATTTTCAGTGGGTCAGTTTGAATATTCACTCAGTCACTGCGAACGAAGCAAACGTGTGACTGTAAAGTGTCCTTAATATACAGCTTTCATGTGGAAAAGCTCGTGAGAACTTTGTACATACCAACATTCAGTTTATTTAGCATTGCTATGTAATGTGGGAGTTTGGTTTGTAAATAAATTTAGAGATAATAAATATATGAATGTTTCATTTGCTTCATTGATGCATATGTTAGTGTGTGTGTGTGTGTGATCCACCTGCAGACGTTGACCCTTTCTCTGCTTTAGACCTTTGCTTGTCTTGTGCCGGCTGTTAAAGCACCTGACAGTCGATCACATGATGTTTCGCTGAAGGGTTTAACAGAGTGAATCTCTCGTCTCGTGGCTTCTGTGAATCTTCAGCTTGAGAGACGGAGGAACAGAATCTGATGCGCAGGTGAAGACAGTTTTCACAATATTAGGGATTCATATCCTGAAATAATGTGGCATAAAATTTTATCTGAGACGTTTTTATGTAAGAGTGGCATGATTGTTTTTTTTTTAAAAAGACTAGAGAGTGTTAATAAAATACTTTGATGATATTTTAACCTAAATAAATTCACAATAATTGTATGTATTTATGTAAATGTTATCTAATTTTAAAAAAAATCTTTTATTCTCATATTTGACTGCAACGAAATTGTTACAAGTTTTTTATATAAAAAAAATGTATAATTATTTTGTGTTCTATTTTAATATAGATTGTAAGTCTGTTGAAAGATTTTATGTAACATTTTTAATGAATAATTTTTACGTTTTGGTTAATCAAATATTGCAATGAAGTTTTTATTTAAAAAATTCAGAAGAATAAGTTTGTTTTATTGTTTCACTTAGATCTCATTTAAATATATTTTATATTTTTCATTATTAACAGTCTTAATTTTTTATTAGTCTATTTATATTTGTAATTCAAATGAATATTACAAACATGGTTAATCAAATATTGCAATGAAATTGTAACAAGTTTTAATAAAAAAATCTCAAAATAATAATTTTATGTGTTCTAATTTAATTTGATGTAATTTAAATATTTAATAATGTCTTAATTTTTATTAGTCTCATTTTGACATTTGTATTCACATTTGTATTCATTTAAGTTTTCATTTAAAAAAATCTCAAAATTATTTTGCGTATAATATATTTTAATTAATAACTCTTAATTTTTATTAGTCTTTGTCTTTTTTATTCGTATAAATATTACAGACGATGTGTAATCAAATATTAAAATATAACAATGAAATTAAAATTAAAACTTTTTACACATTACAAGTAAAACACATTACACAAGTAAAAAAAACTCAAAATAAGTATTTTAAATGCGCTTTATTTGTTAATTTAATTTATTTAATTTATTCGATTTTATCTCATTTAAATAGGTCTAAGTTTCATATTTTTTAATTATTATTGTGTATTTTTTTCTTTTCTTTCTCACTTGAATATTAAATGCTAAAAAACTAAGACCGTAATAACTCTGCTGTATTTCCTCAGGATGTGGTGTGTGTGTGTGGTGTGTGTGTGTGCTCTGCTGTCCGTCACCTGTGGCCGCCCACATCTCTCCACAGGGTCACATGACATGATCAACATCATCAACACGGCCCAGACCACGTGGACGGTAGGAGGGGTTTTACGTCATCACATGTCTGTAACAACACATACAATGTACACAAATAAAACAAACAAACGAACACCAGGGCTCATATTACACGAAAAGTGCACTGTGGAAGTCAGAGTTAACAATACATTGCAATCAATAATAGCCTAAATTAGGTTAATATAGTATATTATAGATATAAATATATAAAATATATTTTCATATGAATATAATACCCAATCAACCAACTCCTCTATTATATTATATATTGTTCAATAAATAATAAAAAGGCACTCCACACCCTCTTAAATGGGTCTTCTGTACCCTTAGGAACATAGGTTATCTTCTCCATGGCAACACATGACGATATTTCTCTTAACCAGCGAGTTATTCTGGCTTTTTACAATAGATGACGATGAGCCGTTTGGCATGTAGAATACACACGTCTATCAATACTTCAGTGTCCTTTTTAATATTCCTGTTATCTGGATGAATACCAATAATGAAAAACCCAGGATCCAGTGGCAATCTCACTGAGACTATATGCCATATCATATTAATAATTTATTTCCCAAACTCTTTTTTTTTTTTTTATCACATTCCCACATACAAATGAATTAATGTGCCTTTTGCACAGTAAAAATATCATATATTATAAATAATAATATAAATAATATATAAATTAAAATTGTATATATATATATATATATATAGCATAAATATATAGCATAACATTTATTAAAACTACATATACACACGCATACATATAAATTTTAATTTACATTTATAAAAACTACATATACACACACATACATATACTTAAAATATAAATAATATATAAATTAAAATTGTATATATATATATATATAGCATAAATATATAGCATAACATTTATTAAAACTACATATACACACGCATACATATAAATTTTAATTTATATATTATTTATATTTTAAGTATATGTATGTGTGTGTATATGTAGTTTTTATAAAGGTAATTTATTTATGCTATATATATATATATATATATATATATGGAAAAATAACGGATTGTATATATTTAAGCTATATACAGTATGACCATGCATATATACACTCACCTAAAGGATTATTAGGAACACCATACTAATACTGTGTTTGACCCCCTTTCGCCTTCAGAACTGCCTTAATTCTACGTGGCATTGATTCAAAAAGGTGCTGAAAGCATTCTTTAGAAATGTTGGCCCATATTGATAGGATAGCATCTTGCAGTTGATGGAGATTTGTGGGATGCACATCCAGGGCACGAAGCTCCCGTTCCACCACATCCCAAAGATGCTCTATTGGGTTGAGATCTGGTGACTGTGGGGGCCATTTTAGTACAGTGAACTCATTGTCATGTTCAAGAAACCAATTTGAAATGATTAGAGCTTTGTGACATGGTGGAAGTAGCCATCAGAGGATGGGTACATGGTGGCCATAAAGGGATGGACATGGTCAGAAACAATGCTCAGGTAGGCCGTGTCATTTAAACGATGCCCAATTGGCACTAAGGGGCCTAAAGTGTGCCAAGAAAACATCCCCCACACCATTACACCACCACCACCAGCCTGCACAGTGGGAACAAGGCATGATGGATCCATGTTCTCATTCTGTTTACGCCAAATTCTGACTCTACCATGTGAATGTCTCAAAAGAAATCGAGACTCATCAGGCAATATTTTTCCAGTCTTCAACTGTCCAATTTTGGTAAATGGACGGCATTTATATAGCTTTCTTTCACAGACCCAATGGCCACCAAAGCGCTTTACATTTTGCCTCTCCCATTCACTCATGGGTGAATTTACATTCACCCATTCACTCACTCATTCATACACCGACGGCGGTGTCAGCCGTACAAGGCGCCATCCAGCTCGTCGGGAGCAGCTGAGGTTAGGTGTCTTGCTCATGGACACCTCGACACTTGGTCAGGTGGAACCGGGGATTGAACCACCAACCTTCTGGTTTGTAGACAACCTACATGAACCACTGAGCCACTGCCGCCAGAATTTTGGTGAGCTCTTGCAAATTGTAGCCTCTTTTTCCTATTTGTAGTGGAGATGAGTGGTACCCGGTGGGGTCTTCTGCTGTTGTAGCCCATCCGCCTCAAGGTTGTGCGTGTTGTGGCTTCACAAATGCTTTGCTGCATACCTCGGTTGTAACGAGTGGTTACTTCAGTCAAAGTTGCTCTTCTATCAGCTTGAATCAGTCGGCCCATTCTCCTCTGACCTCTAGCATCAACAAGGCATTTTCGCCCACAGGACTGCCGCATACTGGATGTTTTTCCCTTTTCACACCATTCTTTGTAAACCCTAGAAATGGTTGTGCGTGAAAATCCCAGTAACTGAGCAGATTGTGAAATACTCAGACCGGCCCGTCTGGCACCAACAACCATGCCACGCTCAAAATGGCTTAAATCACCTTTCTTTCCCATTCTGACATTCAGTTTGGAGTTCAGGAGATTGTCTTGACCAGGACCACACCCCTAAATGCATTGAAGCAACTGCCATGTGATTGGTTGATTAGATAATTGCATTAATGAGAAATTGAACAGGTGTTGCTAATAATCCTTTAGGTGAGTGTATATGTACATGTATATTATAACTTGTTTGTAAAATATAAATAATATATAGATCAATATACATTTATATATACTAGTGCTGGGCCGTTGTCGGCGTTAACGTGCTGCGTTAACGTGAGACTCTTATCGGGCGATAAAAAAAATATCGCCGTTAATCAAAGTTGGGTTGGGATTGGGAATGGGATCATAAATAGCTTTTTCGAATATCGTTATATTTTCGCGCAATTCTAATGTGTAGTAGGCCAATGACGCCGCGCCTGCTGTCACAGATCGCGCAGTGGGGTATTTTCCTGTCAGGGACACAAGGTGTACTTTTACTTTGTTACGTTGGGTGACGTTCCTCTCGTTACTTTATTTTAATGCAATACGTTGTTAAATGAGTTTATTCCAAGCGCGCTGTGTCCTTTGTATGGGCATGAGCGATGCTCATTTACAAATGAATCACTCTTTTGAGTCGATTCTGTTCAAAGACTTCATCAAACAAGTTGTCAGATGATCTGTCTAAATCGGTTCGCGAATCAGTTGATCTGTTCAGTTCCTCGCGCACTGAATCGTCTGAAGCGCTTTCAATTCACACGAAACAGGAAGATTTAAGAGCATCAAGAGCGTTGGATGAAGTGGCCGATCTACAGTCTAGTGAATGCAAATCTGCAAATGCATCATATTTTTGCCAGCGATGAAGATCTTTATTAGTTGAACATCTTCGTAAGCTGTCTGTGAATGAATGATTCCACAGGACGATACATTCGATTTCATTTCATTCAGGTAATACATTGTGTGTGTATTGCGCGTGTATTGCGCAGTGGCATAATCACACGAATAGTTTACATTGATTGAAACTAATTTGTTTAAAAATGAGGCTATTGCAGTAACAAGGCAGGTTCACATAAAATTCTTATGACATATGATGACATTATTTTTTGATCTAACGAGCATGGCGATGCAAAAACGGACTGTCGTGCGTAGGCTATTGTTTTTTTGTTTTTTTTTCAATTAGCCTACTATGTTTAAAAAAAGGACGAAAACATGTTACTTGTTCAATTAATAAACAGTTTGTTTGATGACAAATCGCTAAAGATGAAATTGGCCTCCCTTTCTGTCATTGCGTTTTTTTTTTTTTTTTTTTTTTTTTTTTTTACGATATTCGACTTTTGCTCCTCGATTGTCGAATGGCATTTTTGGCAGAAATGCACATCCCTACGCGAGGCAAACTATTCTCAAAGACTTACTTTTAGTCATTATTTGGGTAGCACACATATTCTGAATGCCTTCGGGAGAATTCAAATGAGCCATTTTAATCTAGATTAATCTAGATTAATTTCAATATTAATCTAGATTAATCTAGATTAAAAAAAATTTATCTATGCCCCTCTAATATATACACAATTTATAATATACATGTACAGTGTATTGTAAAATTTGTATAAATTGTCATATATAGCTTATATAATGTGTGTGTTTTTGGGATGAAATATGACCTGCAGATTCTTTCAGATTCATTCCCACATACAATGAATTAATGTGCCTTTTGCACTGTTGCATTTAAAAGAAGTATCTGATATGTTGCTATACATTTAGTTTAGTTTAACCGGAGTTATATAGGTACGCATTAAGCCAATTGTACTGTAACAGTTCTAGTCTGTGTTTGGGCTTTTACACATTTCTGATCCCATTTTTCCTTTGTGTGTGTGTGTGTGTGTGTGTGTGTGTGTGTGTGTGTGTGTGTGTACGATAACGTTCTACATTACATTCTTTCTTTTTTTAAACATTTTTATTAAAGCAGAACATAGAACAAAACACAGTTAGATGAGACCAGAAATAAAGTCAGAATTGATTGATATAAAGTCGTAATTGCGTGTAATAAAGTCAGAATTGCGTGAAATAAAGTCGCAATTGCGTATTATAAAGTCAGAATTGATTGATATAAAGTCGTAATTGCGTGTTATAAAGTCAGAATTGATTGATATAAAGTCGCAATTGCGTGTTATAAAGTCAGAATTGTGTGATATAAAGTCGTAATTGCGTGTTATAAAGTCAGAATTGCGTGAAATAAAGTCGCAATTGCGTGTTATAAAGTCAGAATTGCGTGAAATAAAGTTGCAATTGCGTGTTATAAAGTCAGAATTGTCAGATATAAAGTCGCAATTGTGAGTTATAAAGTCAGAATTGCGTGAAATAGTTGCAATTGCGTGTTGTAAAGTCAGAATTGATTGATATAAAGTCGTAATTGCAGGTTATAAAGTCAGAATTGCGTGAATAAAAGTCGCAATTGCATGTTATAAAGTCAGAATTGTGAGTTATAAAGTCAGAATTGATTGATATTAAGTCGCAATTGCATGTTATAAAGTCAGAATTTCGTGAAATAAAGTCAGAATTGATTGATATAAAGTCGTAATTGCGTGTTATAAAGTCAGAATTGCGTGAAATAAAGTCGCAATTGCGTGTTATGAAGTCAGAATTGCGTGAAATAAAGTCGCAATTGCATGTTATAAAGTCAGAATTGATTGATATAAAGTAGTAATTGCGTATTATAAAGTCAGAATTGCGTGAAATAAAGTCGCAATTGCACATTATAGTCAGAATTGATTGATATAAAGTCGTAATTGTGAGTTATAAAGTCAGAATTGATTGATATAAAGTCGTAATTGCGTGTTATAAAGTCAGAATTGCGTGATATAAAGTCGTAATTGCGTGTTATAAAGTCAGAATTGTGAGATACAAAGTCAGAATTGTGAGTTATAAAGTCAGAATTGATTGATATAAAGTTGCAATTGCAGGTTATAAAGTCAGAATTGCGTGAAATAGTCACAATTACATGTTATAAAGTCAGAATTGATTGATATAAAGTCGTAATTGCAGGTTATAAAGTCAGAATTGCGTGAAATAAAGTCAGAATTGATTGATATAAAGTCGTAATTGCAGGTTATAAAGTCAGAATTGCGTGAAATAAAGTCAGAATTGATTGTTATAAAGTCGCAATTGCGAGTTATAAAGTCAGAATTGATTGATATAAAGTCGTAATTGCTTTATAAAGTCAGAATTACGAGAAATAAAGTCGCAATTGCGTGTCGTTAAAGTCAGAATTGATTGATATAAAGTCGCAATTGCGTGCTATAAAGTCAGAATTGCGTGAAATAAAGTCGCAATTGCGTGTTATAAAGTCAGAATTGCGTAAAATAAAGTCGCAATTGCGTGTTATAAAGTCAGAATTGCGTGTAATAAAGTCGCAATTGCGTGTTATAAAGTCAGAATTGCGTGTAATAAAGTCGCAATTGCGTGTTATAAAGTCAGAATTGCGTGAAATAAAGTCGGAATTGCGTGTTATAAAGTCAGAATTGATTGATATAAAGTTGCAATTGCGTGTTATAAACTCAGAATTGCGTGAAATAAAGTCGCAAGTTCGGGATATAAAGTCAGAATTGATTGATATAAAGTCGTAATTGCTTTATAAAGTCAGAATTGCAAGATATAAAGTCGCAATTGCGAGATATAAAGTCGGAATTGCATGAAATAAAGTCGCAATTGCGTGTTATAAAGTCAGAATTGCGTGAAATAAAGTCGCAATTGCGTGTTACAAAGTCAGAATTGCGTGAAATAAAGTCAGAATTGATTGATATAAAGTCGTAATTGCTTTATAAAGTCAGAATTGCGTGAAATAAAGTCGCAATTGCGAGATATAAAGTCAGAATTGCGTGAAATAAAGTCGCAATTGCGTGTTATAAAGTCAGAATTGCGTGAAATAAAGTCGAAATTGCGTGTTGTAAAGTCAGAATTGTGAGATATAAACTATTCTGAGGGGGTGAAAAGTTAGTCTTTTTTTTTCTTTGAATTGGCCTGATAACTCGCAATTGCGAGTTTATATCTCACAATTCTGAGAAAAGATGTCAGAATTTCGAGATATAAACTCGCAATTATGTGTTATAAAGTCAGAATTGCGAGATGTAAAGTCGCAATTGTGAGAAAAAAAGTCAGAATTGTGAGAGAAAAAGTCTCAATTCTTACTTTTTTTTCTCGCAATTGCGACTTTATTTCTCATAATTGCGACTTTACATCTCGCAATTGCGACATTATTTCTCATAATTGTGAGATAAAAAGTCACAATTATTATTATTTTTTTATTTTTCAGTGGCGGAAACGAGCTTCCATAGGTTGTTGAGAAGAGATGAAAAAAAAAATCTTTTTTTTTATAAACATAAATATAGAAGAAAAAAAAGGCTAATCGGGCTAATAGCCCACATGGCTAATCTAGATGTGTAAGACTGAGAAACTAACAATAACATGTTGTATAAACAAGATCTGTGTCCAAGCGGACGGTTTGAAGGACTGATGCACATGTTCATCCTTCTCTCTTCCTCCTCCTCCTCTTCCTCCTTCGGTTCTCCTCAGGCGGGTGTGAACTTCCAGAAAGTGCCGTCAGGGTTTGTGAAGTCTCTCTGCGGGACCCTGATGAACGGCCCCCGACTGCCTGACACGTGAGCTTCACACACACAGATCTCTCTCTCAAACAACTCTTAGCATCACTGAATTCTGTTATTAAACAGCAATTAATCTGCATGATAATATTCTGTGATTGGTGTTTATTTGTAAAGTTCAGTCGGGATGAAAAGCATCTGCCACATGCATGAGTGTAAAGTTGTGTTAGCATTTGCATTTGTACATCTGAGTTTCACACACACACACACACACACACACACACACACACACACACAATAAAGCTGTATCATATCACTGACATGGTTAATACACTCGAAAATAAAATACATTAATAATTAAAGTAAGTCATTAAAAACTAAATTCTCATTATGGTATGAACAAATAAAGATGTATCATTTACATTTTAAAGTACTAATATATTGTAGTAATATTTATTGTAAAACTTTTTAAATAAGCTGATTTGCACGACAATAATATTAATTAATAAATAACAACAATTGCACTACATAAGATAAATAAATAAGATCAATAATTTAAAAAAAATATGATTAAAGGAATTGCACTATGGTACATAAATCACAATGAGAAATAATGACAAAAATGCACTGCAATAAATAATAATGAGAATTTAGGGGGTAAATGTGCACAATTGTCACGCAAAATAATGTCGCAATGAAAAAATGCTCTTAAAAATGGACTCAATTTTCTTTGTGTAAAACATATTTTCTTAATTACATCTACGTTTATCTAAAGTGACTTACAAAAGAGCAACAAGAGCAATTAGTCAAAGAGCCAACAGTGTTCGCAACGCCAGGATTATCAGACGCAAAAACTAAAAGTACAATGTTTTTTGTGGAAAGTGGTTTTGAAAGGGTTTAATATCTGCATAAAAAGTTATTTGGCGTAAAGAACAGATTTTCCTCAGTGTGTGTGTGTGTGTGTGTGTGTTTGCAGGGTGAGACACGCCGTCGACGTGAATCTTCCGGACAGTTTCGACCCGCGGGCCGAGTGGCCGTACTGTAAAAGCCTCGGGCAGATCCGGGATCAGGGCTCCTGCGGCTCCTGCTGGGTAAACACTCGTACACACGTGTGTGTGTGTGTGTGTGTGTGTGTGAGACGTGTGATGTGTGTGTGTGTGAGGCTACGTCATCTACATTAATCTGGATACATTTGAAAACCGCATTTTCGCTTAAAAACTCTCTCCGTCCACACTAGTGTTTCCTGCTGGGTAAACACTCGTGCACACGTGTGTGTGTGTGTGTGTGTGTGTGTGTGTGTGTGTGAGACGTGTGGACAGCAAATGTGAGAGAATTTTCTGTCATGTTTGCAGGACTGTGATATGAAGAGTGTGCAAAGTGACATATTTCAGCAACAGTGTGAAAGTGAACATCACATAACAGGCACAATACCGCTATAAACATGAACATCTATTCGCACAATATGCGTCACATGACTAAACTTACGCCATCGTTTTTAAATACCTCAGTTTTGGCAGTCCACACCAGTGTTGGGTGTAACTCACTCATTACAAGTGACTTGAGTTATGTAATCAGATTACTTTTCAAGTAACTAGTAAAGTATCACATTACTTTTTCAAATAACTACTTTTCCACATTTATTGACTGACAGCTCATGTTGAGAGAAATAAAGTGAGGTGTGTGTGTGTGTGTGTGTGTGTGTGTGTGTGTGTGTGTGTGTGTGTGTGTGTGTGTGTGTGTGTGTGTGTGTGTGTGTGTGTGTAAATATGGTTATTGTAGTTCTAGACTAAATGTGAACATGTATTTGCTCATCTCACTGAAACATTCAGTATTCCTCAAAATGAATAAAAACAGTAAAATACAATCTCTGAATTTTACGCAAAACTTTTATAATTAACTATATTAAATTACACAAACATACTTGATGTATTTAATCTCACTTTATTAACCAATGTCTTTGCTGCTGACCTGCAATGATCTAATTCAACCATACTAATAAACAAAAATGACTTTAGATTAGATTTAGAGGTTTGTTTGAGCGGCGCCCTCTACTGTACAGGAGTAAACATGCATTTACTTTGACCTGAGGATTATTCACTTCACTTTTGGTGTGAAAGAGCCTTTACATTTGCCAAAAATATAACTTTTTATATTGTTATTAAAAAACAAACAAGCAACCCCAGCCCAGGTGAGAACAAGTACCGTAACGCATTACTTTTTATGACTTTTTCTCACTTTTTCTTATTTCTCATTATGTATTTATTGTAGTGCAATGCCGTTATTTCTCTGTGTGCTTTATCTCTGACTGTGTGGCTGTGTGGCTGTGTGTGTGTGTGTGTGTGTGTGTGTGTGTGTGTGTGTGTGTGTGTGTGTGTGTGTGTGTGTGTGTGTGTGTGTGTGTGTGTGTGTGTGTGTGTGTGTGTGTGTGTGTGTGTGTGTGTGTGTGTGTGCAGGCGTTCGGTGCGGCCGAGGCCATCTCTGACCGCATCTGCATCCACAGTAAAGGACAGGTTTCTGTGGAGATCTCGGCTGAAGATCTGCTGTCCTGCTGTGAGGAGTGCGGCTTCGGGTGTGTGTCCGCAGCAACACACACACTGATCAGTAGCTTAAGTTATGGTTATAAATATGGTTATAGTTATAGTCAGAGTTTGAAATTAACACCCGGCAAATGCGGGTAATAATCAACTGTGGCGGGAAAAGCTGTCAAATCACAAGCAAAATTGGCGAGTTACTCACTTATATTTACTCCCTTTGCTGGGAAGTTCGTGTAAGTCAAATCTGCGGTGATTTAGCGCAAATACTCGTGAGTCCTCATGATATATTAAATACAGTGTATTGCACAGAATCTGCTCATATCTGCTCACTTGAACACACTCGTCACTACACAACAAATAACGGCGCGCTTGTTCACTTGCATTGAAGCAACAGCGAATAGTTATGGTTATGGTTATAGTGGTTATGATTGTTATGGTTATGGTTATAGTTATGGTCATAGTTAAAGTTATGGTTATGGTTATGGTTATGGTTATGGTTATAGTTATAGTTATGGTAAATAGTTATGGTTATGGTTATAGTTATGGTTATAGTTATGGTTATAGATGGTTATAGTTATGGTTATAGATGGTTATGGTTATAGTTATGGTTATAGATGGTTATGGTTATAGTTATGGTAAATAGTTATGGTTATGGTTATAGTTATGGTTATAGTTATGGTAATGGTTATGGTTATAGTTATGGTTATGGTTATAGATGGTTATAGTTATGGTTATGGTTATAGTTATGGTTATGGTTATAGATGGTTATAGTTATGGTTATGGTTATAGTTATGGTTATGGTTATGGTTATAGTTATGGTTATGGTTATAGATGGTTATAGTTATGGTTATAGATGGTTATGGTTATAGTTATGGTTATAGATGGTTATGGTTATAGTTATAGTAATAGTTATGGTAATAGTTATGGTTATAGTAATAGTTTTAGTTAAAGTTATAGTTATGGTAATAGTTATGGTTATAGTTATGGTTATAGATGGTTATAGTTATGGTAAATAGTTATGGTTATGGTTATAGTTATGGTTATGGTTATAGTTATGGTTATGGTTATAGATGGTTATAGTTATGGTTATAGATGGTTATAGTTATAGTAATAGTTATGGTTATAGTAATAGTTTTAGTTAAAGTTATGGTTATAGATGGTTATGGTTATAGTTATGGTTATAGATGGTTATGGTTATAGTTATAGTAATAGTTATGGTTATAGTCATGGTTATAGTAATAGTTTTAGTTATAGTTATAGTTAAAGTTATGGTTATGGTTATAGTTATAGTTATGGTTATAGTTATGGTTATGGTTATAGTTATGGTTATGGTTATAGTTATGGTTATAGATGGTTATAGTTATAGATATGGTTATAGATGGTTATAGTTATAGATATGGTTATAGATGGTTATGGTTATAGATGGTTATAGTTATGGTTATAGTTATGGTTAGATGGTTATGGTTATGGTTTGTGGTGTGAACAGGGCTTTTCGGGAACATCTGAGTAGACACATCTGTAACATCTGTACTGATCCTCAGGTGTTCTGGAGGCTATCCGGCAGAAGCGTGGGATTACTGGACCAAATCCGGCCTGGTGACCGGAGGACTTTATGGATCCAATCAGGGTGAGTCTGGATCTATACAGTATAATAATAAAGAATAAATGTACTGAAGCTCATCAAAGACAAATGAACAGCTTCATTCTGCTGGGTTTACGTTAGTTTTACATTACAGTTTCATTTGTCAAATCTGCGATAACATCATCTAGCGTGGCGGCATGAACATGAACATCCTTTTGTGTTCTGCAAAAAAAAGTGTGACTGAGTCACAAGTAGCCTATAAAACTATGAAACTTTGGTACAATAATATGGTTTAACAGAATATTGAAATAAATAAATACATAGAAATATAGAAAATGTAACTTTAAAACAAACAAAAATAATAAATAAAATGACAAAATACTAAAATTAAACAAAATAATAAAATGTTTTAATAAATAATAAAATGCCTGTAATTAATTAATTAAAATTAAACAAAAAAAAATACAATAAAATATTACAATAAATAAAAATATATAAAAATTAAAGAAAATACCAAATATAAAAATTAAAGAACATAATAAAATAAATAAAAAATATATATAAAAAATATTAAGATAAATAGAAAATTAATTAATTAAATTAAACTTTGAAATAAACAAGAATAATAAAATAAAATAACAAAACGTTAAAATGAAACAATAATAAAATAAAAAAACAAACTAAATAATAAAATAAAAAACAAACTAAATAAAATAAATAATAAAATACAATAAAATTGATAAGAAATAACAAAATAAATAATTATAAAATTATAGAATATTAAAATAAATATAAATTAATTAAATTAACTTTGAATAAAATAAATAATGCATTACAATAAAATAAATAATATTAAAATAAATTAAAATATAACAAAATAATAAAATAACAAAACATTAAAATTAAATAAAATAATAAAATGAAGTTAAAAAAATTCAAATAAATACAATAAAATAAAATATTACAATTAAAATAATACTACTATAAAATAAATGAGTTTCTGAGGTCTTTCTGCACGTCTAGGCTGCAGGCCCTACAGCATCCCCCCCTGTGAGCATCATGTGAACGGCTCGCGTCCGCCGTGTTCAGGGGAGCAACACACACCGCAGTGTGACTCCATCTGCATCCCGCAGTACAGCGTCCCCTACACACACGACAAACACTTCGGTGAGTTTCTGCTGCTTCATCCTCTGTCGTTAGTCTCTCGTAACTCTG